AATTTAAATCCCTTTTTCTATTCTTACCTACCTTTTGACCTATTCTTAAAAATCAAAAATTATGTATACAGTCAACTCTTGTTATAACGAACTCTATGTCCTAGACCTCAACTTCGCTATAAGGCTATAGTGAAGATTTTAAGAGATTTGATTGGCCAATTCGCTATAATAAGAGTATTTTTATTATATTTGTTCAAAAAATTCGTTATATCAAGAGTTCGCTATAACAAGAGTTGACTGTATTAATATTGCTTATTTGAAGTTATTTTACATAAATACTTATGTTTCATTAATTAAAGTCAAAGCATATTTGAATAATTTTTATAATAATCAAGTTAATAATACTCTTCTAAGAACTATGTAAACTCTACAGCCCTTTAACTTAACTCATATAATATTTTTAAAAGTTTTTTCACATATCAAAATTCACCTGTCCTTATTTTAATATGACAATTTGTCAAAGAATTAAATTGAAAAACATCTATTATGAAACTTATTAAACTAAATGTTTTATCAAAGAATTTCTCAATTATTTATCTATACTAATTAATCACATTATTCTCATTAATAATAATATTACTCTAGCCTGTACTAATTACGTTACCTTTTTCTTACAGAAAGTCAAATATTAACAGATTTTAGAGATATCTTTTACTTTAGAAGTTCTAAAACAAAGATATTTATTTATACATATAGATGAAATCTTTAATTTTAGTTAAGTTTCAGTTTTAAGTTTCAGGTAGTTTTAGATTTCAAAATTTCATTTTTGAAACTAAAATCTTAGTCAAAATCTAAAATCTCAAATAAAATCTAAAACTATGTCTGAAATCCTTTCTAAGATTAAAATCTTAAAATAGAAAAAGGAAAATTAAAAGATTTGATCATTTAATATAATCTAAATCTAATTTCTTCGTAAAATTTTTTTATCTATACTTTTTTTTCTTAAAAGTTTATATTTTTAAAATTTAAATTTTAAAATATCAAAGAAAGTAGATAGACATCTTAGTAGCAAAATATAGGGTTAATTTATAAAAGGAGATTTAATATCTAATTCTAAAAAATAAGTAGCAATACTCTTATAAGAGTGTTTACTACTTACGTTATAATGTTACTTACTTATAAGTATAATATTACTTTATATTGATATAATCTATGTTATTTTTTAAAACTACCTAACCAACCATCTGACTGATGAAAATCTTCAATAGAAAACCTTTCTACAAAAAATATTACTTTAACCTTTAAAATATTACTATTAATATCTTGTTTGTATTCAAAGTATTATTAACCTAAAGACTAAGTGCAATTTCAAGTTAAGGCTACTTTAGATCACAAAACTTTTTAATATTTTCTTGATCTTCTAAAATTATCAGCCAGTGGTTCTTATTATTTAAACTATCAGTGAATGTTGACTTGCCAATATTAAATTTTTGTACAAAACTAACATTAAAAAGATTTGATTTTCTTTCTTTTATTTCACAAATTGCTCATTTTTATGCAGCAGAAAGTATGGTTCTTTTTCTTGTTAACATTTAGAAAAAATAAAAAATTGCAAACAAATAATCAATAAAAAAGATTATTGTATAATATTTAAAATATTTTTATGTAATAATTATTGATAATCAGTGTTATAATATTTATGATAATTTTTATTGTTTCAATTTATCATTAATATTTTTACTAAAACAAATAAAAAAAATATTTACTTTTCCTAATTTAACTTTAATGTATAAGTTCAGTTTATCCAAGAAGCCTGATATCTTTAAAAAAAAAAAAGAAATATTAAGATTATTTCTTAATTAAATATGAAAATTTTTCCTTCACCCTTTAAAAAAAAAATTTTTCTTACTCATTTACCAAGTTTAGTTTATCAAAGAAGTCTAAAATTCTACAAAAAAGAAAAAAAAGAAACGTTAAGACAGTTTCTTAATTAAAACAAATTATTTCCCTTATTAAAAACACTATTATTATCTAGTTTATCCAAGAAACCTAGCATTTCTACAAAAAAGAAAAAAGAAACATTAAAACTATTTTTTAATTAAAACAAAATATTCTTCCTTTTTAAAAAAATACTATCCTAATCTGGTTCATTCAAAAAGTTTAGTATTTCTACAAAAAAGAAAAAAAGAAATATTAAGAACATTTCTTAATTAAAACAAACCATTTCTCTTATTAAAAACACTATCATTATTTAGTTTATTCAGAAACTTAGCATCTTTACAAAAAGAAAATAAAGAAACATTAAAACTGTTTTTTAATTAAAACAAAACATTTCCCCTTTTAAAAAATCACTACTCTTATCCAGTTTATTCAAGAAGTTCAGTATCCTTATAAAAAAAAAAAGAAACATCAAAACTGTTTCTTAATTAAAAAAAGAAAAAATGCATTGCAAATATATTCAATTCATCAAAAAATCCAGAAACATCTCTACAAAAAAGAAAATGTAAAGTCTAGAATTCACGCATTTTTAATTGTATTATATGATTGTCTAATGTAATATCATTCATTTAAAAGATTAGCTTAGTGATCTACATCACGTGATATTTTAATATAGCTAATATATGACTTATATATCACAGCTAGTTAGGATGGATTTGAATACGATATATAAAATTTTATAATTAAGTTTGTTATATCCAGTATAAAATTTTAGTTCTAGAAATCTTAGTTTATTATAATTGGATTTTAGTATATACAGGTTTATTATAATTAGCTTTGACTGTATAAACCTTGATAAAAAGAAAGAATTAAAATGAAATTTTTAGTTGATTTAATTGATTATCTAAAAAAAATATTAAAATTTGTAATTTAATTAAAATAATTAAAATTTAAAATAATTTATATTTATTAATTTTATTAGATTGTACTATATTAGAAATAGCTTGTATTAAATTTTTTAAACTAATTTCTTGTAAAACTTCATGAGGTTGTTCATATATTACTAATTCTTTAATAGTTTTATATTTTAATAAAACCATAATTTTCAGATTTAAAGTATTATTTGACTTTAAAATTGTAATACCAGTTTTTTATCTTGAATAATTACTAATAAAATGATTTTTAATATTGATACCAGTAGATTTACATATATCACTCATAAATGAATGAAAACAATTTTGTTTAATATGTAATTTTTTAAATTAGATTTCAGTTCTTTGTATTATATTTAAAAAATATTATAATAAAATTAGAAGAATAATAAATTATTTACTATATTCTAAAAAATTTGACTATTAATAAAATTGCAAATTAACGTTAACTAGTCTTTTTAAAGTAATCATTGTAATTCTATATTATATTAGAATCATCATTTGAGATATACAGAATATTAGCTTATGCTTCAGATCAATTTATATTTTTCTGATTTGCTTTTGATTAATATAAATAAATAGTAAAACTACTTTTTCTTAAAAATTTGATGCTAATAATTTATAATATTTGCCTTCTCTAAGTAATAAAAAAATTGCATTTTGAAAAAAATATGACATAATAACCCTTTTGATATAAATTTATCTAATTAAGAATGTTTAAAAATTATAGCAACTTCACTTTTACTTAAAGAAGAAGCTACTCTTCGTTCATTTAATCCTTGTCTTACAAGTTATTTAAATTTTTCATTAATTACTTATCATAACTTATAAAATTTCTCTTGATTTAATATATTTACTCAATAGATTACAGAATGTTTAGATAAATATTGTGTAATAACATATACTCTAATTTTGACAGATTGTATTTTATAATCTTTTTCATTAACTATTTGTATTGTTAAAGTAAATTTAATAATTTGTTCTTTAAGTTCCTTTTCATTATCAATTTCTTTAATTTTTCTATTTAAATTTATATCTTTTTAAACCTTTTCTAATTGTATAATTCAGTTGTTAATAGACTTATTAGTTGAAGAACAATGGTTATAATTAATTATTATTTGTATTTTTTTAATACTAAGTTCATTGTATTTAAAAGTTGGCTAGATAAAAATAAAATTTAAATATTGCTGAAAATTATTGAAAATAAATAGCTTTAAAGATAATATATACCTTTACAAATGGTTTTTATTTTGCTTTTGACATAATAAAAAATGTATAAATAGTAAAAGGAAGGGGAAAGAGAAAAGAAAAAAAAAAGTAAAATAATATTTTATCATAATCAAGACCAAATAATTATATTATAACTTTACAGGTAATCATTGATTACCTGTGAAATTACTATCAATAATCTTTTAATATATTTATTAATTTTCTAAAAAATTATCTTTTAAAAATATTTATTACAATTCTTTTAATTATTAAAATTTTTGTAAAGTTTAAACTAAATAATATAAATTAATATATTTTATTAATTTAATATAATATAGAACTTATACTAATACTGTAAATATAAAATTGTTTTATAAAGTAGTTAAAAATTTAATTATAATTTAAAAAAATAAAATAAAATAAAATCTTAATAATTTAAAAAAGTAAAATATACAGTATATAGGTTATATAATAAGAAATATAATAATAAATTTTATATTCTTTTATTATGTAATACCTGAAAATACCACGCAACTTTTCGGAAAGTTTTCTAATTGGTCTACGCAAACTCCAATTGCGATGAATTTAATATAAAATACTTTATATTATTAAAATTTACATAATACTAAAATAAGAAGTAAAGATATGACGTTATTTGTCCAATCAAAATCAACATTAACCTACATACACAACAATTTCAGGTTCTCACGTGAACATGTGAACTAAAATCAACTACGATAACTACCAATCAAATGGGCTCCATAACGAATCTCAACGTGACAACCGATGAGATCGTGTTTTTTTAAACGCTTTATCCCCATTATTTTTTTTTTTGATTTCAATTTTCTTTCCTGTAAGGCGTGTTTCTTCAATCGTCACAAATAGTATAATTCTTAAAACCTACCTTCAAATAACCTGAGAAAAGTTCTCTTTTGTTATTTTTCAAACACCATATATGAACGCGTTTTAGTAAAAGATAAAATGAACGCAACTAACGGAAAAGGGTATTCTTTACCTCTCTTCACAAACTTGATATCATTTTCACAAGCTTTTTCAATAAACAACACCATAGATTCTACTACTTCCTATTATTCTCCGGCAATGGATATGGATCCAAAGGATATGCCGGAAACGGCTTTTGTGATCGCTTTTTGCGTCAAGTTTCGAAGCGCAATTAATTATATCTCATTCTGGCCAGAGGTATTGTCAAGCATATAAATTATTAAATATATGTAAAACTTTTTTGAGTTCTTCCAATAGTTAAGTCTATAGAACGAATTTAGATTATTTATTATTATTTGTTTTTTTTTTGCTGAAATGTTTTTGGAATATGTATTTTTAATAGGACTTAGACGAAGCAATCTGTTGCAAGGAAGGTCCTAATACCCTCATAGAATCATTACACAAATCCTTTGTTAATAATCTTGTTCCAAAGAAAACAAAAATCTCGTACGCCTTAAATTGTACTTTTTTTTTTGCTATTTTTTTTTTTTTTTTAAGTTATCGTTTATTCTGATACTATTTACATTTTTCAGATGGGTCAGAAAGGTTTCTAAATTGGTAAATGAATGGCGAGGGAGAGGCTATTTTTTCTTCGCTAATTACAATCCAATAGAGCGAGCAAATTATGACTACTACAAAATGAGTAATCGAGAAAAAGTAATAATGGTTATTAAACCCCTTAACATTCTTCACTATCTATTGATAATAAATCATTTTTTTATAGGTCTTAATAATGCAAATACTTGTGAGCTGGCAGCTTGCAGATTCAGCTGAAATAAAGAGAATCAGAAAGGAACTCAAAGAGATAGTAAATGATTACGATATTATGCCTTTGGAAATTGAATTCATAGGCGAAGACACAAGTGGATCCCGATATTATTATATCGGGAGTAAGTATTATTTTTATATCACTCACTAAATTTGACTTTCTGTAATTTAATCATTGATAAGTTTGTGATCCTTACACCTTTTATAATAGCCGGAACTAGAATTTACCGGGAATCAATGATATCAGGGCGCGTAAAGTGGGAGACCTTGTCTAGTTCAGTTGATGGATTAAAAAAATTCATTTTCGATTACCAGGGTCTCGATCCGAACAGATCGGAACGAGAACGAATTTTATATTATAGATTTATTAATACCGTGCTACCGCTGCTTGAGCCCTTGGAAATTGTAAGTACCTTTTAACAAATATAACGTGATTTTATTTTGAATATATTAACGAATATTTATAACATGTCACTTTATTAATATAGGAACGACAAAGGTTCAGAGAAATAGTCATAAATAATAGTAAAGCGGATCGTGACAGAGAATTCCGCTTAAAGAAAATAGAAAAAGATCATAATGACTCCGAGATACTTCTCGTGAGAACCCGTTCTCAGGCTAAACAAGCCACAAATAAAGAAGTGAAAAACACGTCGGGCTACCTTGAGATAATTAATAAGCCATTTGATTCTATCCTCTACACCAATTACAATTTTATTCGTCCGAAATTTCAATTCGTGGATAATTTCGTGGATAGTGTCGTAGTGGATGATGTTATGATGGATGATGTCATGGTGGGTTCTATTACAAGCGGTAACGTACAAGCGATGGAGAGAAATATTTTCGAGAAAAACAGCATAAATGCTAGAACAAACGAAACAAAGGATGTCGGAGACGTTACATTCGTAAAAACTCTCAGTGGGGCCGCGAGTAAAGATATATCGATCCGAAGTGGTAAACGCCCAATCAAGAATGAACGAATGAAATTTGCAGTATCTCGCTGCAGGGATGATTCAAATTCTAAGATGAATATTTCATCTATTTTAACCGACATCCCTAAAGAAGCAGATAGCGTTAAAAAGCACACCGAATTGTCAAAAATGGCAATATCAAATATTTTATCAAATGAAACCTCTAACGTTTTCCAAAATAATGATATATATTCTGATGAAAGCGATGAAAATAACGAACACGGACCAACGCCTTTTCAATATGGCAACGAAAATGTGGAATCTTATGAGTTTGATATTATTGTTCAAGAATCTAATAATAATAAAGCATCTCAAGAAAATGAGATGTATGTACCTATTGCCAAGGAGCAGAATGATTCGCATAAAAGCGGTAATACTCCAAATGGTATCAAGGAAACGATAATGAATCCATGGGATTCCGCGATTAAAAAGAGGAAAAATAAAAAGACTGAGGAAGTTAATGATGGTGTTCTAAGCGAACTCCAAAGAAAACGGGCCTTTGTTCTTAATGCAGATACAATGATTAAATTGGATTGGTCATTGAATCATCCGGTATTTAAATTGGACGAAGAAATATTTGGTGAATCTACTGATACGGATTTGTCAGATTGCTGTTCGAACTGTGCAATGGAAGTAAATTGAGCGGCAATGGATATACTAAATTTATTTTTTTATTTTTTATTTTTATTTTATTTTTATTTTTATTTTTTATTTTATTTTATTTTATTTTATTTTATTTTATTTTTTTTTTTTTTAAAAAAAAAAATGACCTTGGACAATTTTGCGTGATTTTTTTTTTTTTTATTCAATAATAACTTAGTAGGGGGTAATAAATAATTCTTGGTTGGAGGGTTAAATAATAACAACACCTAAAACTTGGGATTTATTTTTTTTTTGTTTTGTACATAAATAAACATTTTAAAAGGAATTTTTGATTATACAAATATAGAATTAATTAATATATTACGGTAAAATTTCCTTTTTAAATGGAGTTTATATTAAGAATCAATAGATTAATAGACTTAAATCATGATTAGACTTTTTTTTTAATTTTTATGTATTTATTATTTATCACTCATCAATTATGGTGAAAATATATTTAGTTTTCACTTGCCGAACCTTTTTTTATGTATACGAATTTTATTAAATATAAAGGAGAACGGTGATTTTCTTTAGACGAAAGATCGATTCACAATTTATTTAGAAGTTGCAATTGGTTTGTCAATTTTTAGGTTGTTGTGGAGGAAAGAATATTGTTCGTTATAATATTTTCAACGTTAAGAATTTTCGGAATGTGAGCTTTTATGATTTGAGCGAATTTAACTTCAACAAAACTGAGAAAAGATCATTAAGCAACTAATTCCTCTAAATAACTTGCACCAAAAAAAAGAAAATTTTTTTGCTTTATTTGCAGATAAAGTTGTATTAACATCTTCAATTTCACTTTCATGTATCCTTCCTACAAAGATTTTGTTTATTTATTTCCTTACGAAGATTGTTTTTTGTCATTGGCTAATGTTAAAATCTTACTGCGGAAATTTAAATTATCTAAATTTTACAACTTACAATAAAGTTGAAATCGTTAACTTTATTCTGAATATAGAATTTTATGTGCCAACAAAATCATCTAATACAACTTTCACGTATATACAAAAAATTCATTTTATCGTGAATACTTGCAATTAATTTAATTAATTTAAAATTATTGACGATAAATTCTTTTGTTCTTTTTCTCCATCACTATATACTCTAAAAAACTGTTCTACTTTCAGAGAGAACATATCTTGGTTGATGGATTCTCTAATATCCTTGAAAAATTTTGTGTAATGGAACAAATTATGACTAAAGAAAAAAAAAGAAAAATTGTCATTATTAGATAATTTCATTATACATTACAATGAAAACCATTTTCTATAATAAGGATTATAAATAAATATTATACCTCATGAGTAACACTGTAGCAAGCATTTCATGAGTATTAAGTAAATGATGAACATAAGCTCGAGTATGATTTTTGCATGAATAACACTGACATCCGGCCAACAAAGGCCGAGCATCATTTTGATAGTTTATATCCCACAAACTTATTATTTGCTGTTGTCGATTAAAAGAATCTAAATCATTCTTTATATCCAGTGAAAATACAAAAGCATTTCCTGCATTGGTCATTTTGAGTACATAACTTGTGTCAAATAAATCAATCCCTTCGGACACACCTAATAAAATATCCTCTAGATAGAAACGTTGAAAGGAATAATGCATTAAAAACGGGTTGAACAATCCATTTATTCGATTTACGTGAAGATATTACACACCTGGTGTTCCTAATCCATATACTAAGCGAGGTTTGTTCGGTGGTAGATGGTTGATTGATGGCTTTAATATATCTACACATTCTCTAGATGTGCTTCCTAAACATTTTCCGTTTAGAACGAATCCTATCAAAATTTAAAACGTTAATTTAATCAAGCGTTGACTGTTGTAAATTTTCAATATAAAAATTCACACCTGCGACATTTCTCTTCGCAGTCTCTTGAGCCGATCTGATTCGTTCTTCTTGATTTTTGTGTCCAGTTAACACTCCAAATACTTGAGCACCTTCCTATTTAATGAAGTTTGAATAAGAATTAATATTTAGAGAAAAAGTAAAATATATTTGAAATAGACACCTTTACGTGATAGATCGCATCATCAAGCCATCTCAACGTTCTATCAACAGATCTTTTTACTCGCTTCAAACTTGGTGCTTCATCTGCTATATTATCAACTAAACTAACGAAAATATCGGGCTTATATATATTCATATATTTAATATATGAATCGGATGTAACCTATTTGACATAAAAAGACTTCAAAAGTTAAAGTAAAAAAAAAAAACTATTTTAGGCTATACTTTTTAATTACTTACTTGGCGAACTCCATGAGCCGTATATACGGAAACATGCTTGTCCGTGTTATTAGACATGAGATTTAAGTTTCCTGGATCACGAACATCAATAAATACAAGATATTCTTCGAAATTCAAAAACTTATGTATTCCATATGGAAATTGCGTGGAGGGTGGTGGTTGTACATCTATACTTTATAACAAGTCAACAAAAATTAAGACATACAAAACAGAATCGTATAAAAAAAAATTGCTTGAAATTGATATAAACTCACAAATGCTCTAATGTAACGTTAATGGCTCCAATTAAAGGAATACTTGACAAATTATCTGGTGTCAAGTGTGGAACGCAACCACGACTTGTATAAGCTAGAAGGTTTGGTGTATCTAATACTTTTTGTTCTTGATTTTTAATTAAAGTCAGCCTTCCTAACCGTAAAGACTTTTCTGAAGTTTTTAATAAATTGAACAACGATGACATTTTTAACAATTATTTTTTTATGATTATTTTTTGTGATAATAAAGGTAAATTCTGTGTGTGATTAAAATGAATTTTGTGATATACAATTGCGTTTATACAAAAACTGTTATTTGTATAAAGAACAATAGCACTGCTAGATATGTAACCAATAAATGTCTAATAACAATTTCAGGTATTAATTTATCTAAAAAATTATTACATTAATTAATAATAAAGATTATTTTCTAGATAGGAGGAAATAAATATAAATTTGCAACATCTGAACATGATTGATTTTATGTGAAATTCAAAATTATTTTCACAATTTATCCAAAATATTGAATAATTAACAGTATATATAACTGTTTGTTTATTTTTAAAACTTTTTCAACTTGTTTTACTTTATAATTATTTGGAATTCAGAATCCATTTTCATCCTTTATATATGACAAATAATTAAATAGATAAAATCCTTCCTTTATAATATTATATATATAGCTTCTTTCAGATTTAAATAGATTTATTAAAATGATTATAACTTTTATTATGATCTTTTCTTTTAATTTGTTACATGCTTATTATATTTATTTTATGTTTATGAAAAAATAATAAAAGTTTTAAAAGACAAATATATTTTATAATAGTAATGATGTAAGTATTATTTATTATTATCCGAAATTTTAGCTAAAAAATATATATAGTTAGACATGCTTTTATGCATACAGATGCATATATCATCTGTTCTCACATGTGATCTACCAAATAAGTATTATATTATGGTTGATCAAATATTAAGTTTCAGATGCTTTAACAGTTTCTATTAACTAGTTTATATATATTTAGATCTAATCAATCAAAATTGAGCTAAATAATTGTTATATATTAAAAAATTTAAGAGCTTTCTAAAAAAAATAGGATACTATAAAAAGAGAATAACTGATTAAAAAATCAGCTGATCTGACAAATACATGTGATTAAAAGTTATAGATTTTCCTTATGTATCTTTCAAAAAACTGATATGATAGCATTTTACTAGAATTAATAACTATTTCAAAAGCATCTAACAAAATTTTAAATCATGTAATATAATATTATTTATTATCTATATTCTAGGAGAAACTGTTCAGATTACACAAAAATTCGATTTTGTCATATGTAGCTAGCTAATTAAATCATATAATTTCGATTTTATCACATAGTAAATAGCCAATCAAATATTAGTTATACAGATTTCTAAATTTAAAACTGGTAATTTTAATCACTTTACAGAAAGAATTAATCATTCAAAATGATTAACTCGATATATTATTGATTGACTTAAAGTAACAAGATTATTTTTGGGTATTTTAAGATCATTCATATAGTTTATTTATTTCAATTATTAATAAAAATAATTTTCAAATATAAAAATAAAAAAAATTTTATATAAAAATGGTGAATTTACAATTTTAAAAATGATTTTTTTGCATCATTTAATTGATTTGCTATTGTTGTTATATCTCCTATTGCATTATCTGAATCATTTTCAACTACATTTTTACTATTCTCATTAATAGTTTGGCTTTAATCTGTTCCTTTGTTAAACTTGTTAAACTTGTAATCAATACATCAACATTTTTCTTAACTTCCCCCTATAGATAATTTAAACATATCAAACACTTATATTGACATCTTTATAAGCAATAGCTGTGATAACCATGTTCACACGTTAGAATACTGTCATTAAAAGAGTTATCAGTATGATCACAATTATTAAAATCACATAAGATAAATATGTTAGGTTTTTTAAAAGTCACAAAGTCTTATGGAAGATACTGATCTATTATTTTGTAACTTAATGAAGAAAGTTTGTAAATGTTAATACCATCAGATGAGAATTTACGGATTAAAAAATACTAGTTTTGTGTTAGATATATCTTCGCAAATGATTATAAAATTTATATAGCGCATTATTAAGAAAATTACGCATCTATTTGGTGTATACAGATATTTTACAGAATTTACAAAATTTTGTTAAAAGGAATTATTATGTTGTTGCTGAAAAATAAAGTATGCCTCCTTTCGTAATTATTGAATCATAAAGAATTTAGCTATACGTTTCTAAATAATGCTATGAGTTAGTTCAACAAGATAATCACTTAAAGAAGTAAGATGATTAGTAATTAAATTAGTAATTAGATGCCCAATTTCCATCCAATAAAAAATATCTGAGAGAAACATTAAAGGGGTATGTTTATAATTCTTCTGATAAAACTGAAGAAAAAGGTCACTTTAACAACATATGTAGGCTTCTTAATAAGCTGACCAATCACCCTCACAATGATGCACTTTATAAACATCAAGAACTAATAGAATCAAATTACTAAACAAATCTGTTAAATACAAAAATTCAATATCTTTGCATAAACAGCTAAATTTCAAATAAACAGTATTAACTACATTAAGCTACGCTATGTGTACAATATATAAAATTAAGTCGATTTTCTATGACTGTGACTTCTTATCAAGATTCTTATGTACATCAAATATGCTCTTGTAAATATTATTGAATAAATCAGAATTTTTTAAAAGATAAGCTCACAAGCGTTTAAATATAAAGAGAACCTATCATAAGTAAAATGATATGACAAAATGAGAAATATTTTTGTTATTAATAAGATGCCATTGTGCAAGAACTTTGCGAATGAATAAATGACCAGGCTAATTTGTAATAACGAGAATTATGTAGTTGAAAAGGTATACTTGCATTGGCTCTTATTCATATACGATTCGAACTGTACTTATGTAATCCTCTATCTCTTTTAAATAACTTTCAATAAAATCAAAAAGAATAGAATCCCGTATATGTTAATTATTTTTTTTCTCTATTATTCTGTTATTGTAGCTATGTACTATTAATCTATTTATTAGCTTATCATCAGAATATCCTTTGCATTATCTCACATATGTTTGTAATAAGAAATACCTATATTTATAATAAACCATTTATCAAGATATTTCTGAATTCATAATCTTTGGATTAATTATTCTATTATGTGATATCACTGGCATCAGACATGGAATTACTAAGATTGTCACTATATGTATTGCCTAGGAGGTTTCAATTGTATTAGATTACCATTGAATATGTATATTATAATAGTTATTGACATTTAGTATAAAAGCATTTTCTGAATGATATTTGAGAGTATTCTTTACATATTCTTTATGTGCATCAGATATTTATTTCTTCTTTTGATCTACTGACCTTAATGTTGTATTTACCCTGAAATTTATTATAGTATTCAATCCTTCGTTACTTATTCCTGCCGAATCTAAATAATAAGCTAAATCAAATTTGAAAACAATTATTTTTATGTTATTTAATGAGAAAAAAAGATAATAAATAAACAATATTATTTTTTATATGATCCATTATTTGATTAATACATTCAAAAAGTCAGGTCACTATATAAAATTATTTAAAGAAATCTTTCAAAGCAGACTCAATTTCTTCTATTAATTCTCGTATTTCATCAAAATTATAAATGGGATTCTCCTTCTGTCCCTTTGAATGGTCTTTAGTATTCTTGTTAAAGTCAGTTGAATTTTTATAGTTATCACCATATCCTTTAAATATTTTGAGATCCATATTATCAGGTATATTATCTGTCCAATAACCTCTAAGTTTTTGGAATCCTAGCTTTTGAGGTAAAATGTTAGAGTTATTAGAAGATTTTAGCTTTTGTGAAAGTAAAGCTTTAATATTACCTTTTGCAGAGGAGTTCAATTTGGATTTAAAAGTATCAATAAAGATAACGTTAACTCTAACTGCATCCCGTTAAGTTGTTTTTTGAAGCAGTATAGTTATTGAATTATGCTAACTGAAAACATTGGTAGAGTTACTGCATATTACGGTCTTTAGAAGATAGTTACTGTTTAGGTAACTTGTTATATTATGATAAGCAGAGGAGCAGATCGCATATAACTTCTGTTTAGAATATGTCTATTTAACTTTCTTTTCATTTAAAGTGAAGTCAGTAATTTTTTTTGCAGCTACGCATAATGCTGCTGAGATAAAATAAAAATAAGCATGCTAGAGATAAATGTAATAAGACTGGACTCAGAAAATAATCCATATTGTAGCTTTTACTATTCGTCCAATTTCTATGAAGTCATATAAGATAGTATTGTGTAAGAGGTTATAAGTTTGATCAGAAATTTAAACCTTTCTTAAATTACTTCACGTAAAATGTTGCAATGATAGAATCTAATTATATTATTAAGTAGGTATATACCATCTCCTTTATCAAGTTTGGTAAAGTTCGCAGTTTTGTCAAAGGTAATGGTAGCTCTTTACCATAAGTTTTGAGTTTTTATAGTAATACAAGTGATCATGCTATAATTGAAAAATAATTTTTTTAAGTAAAGTTCAGTGGTGTCAAGTAGAATTTCAGTTATTGTGATGAAAAGTTTCAGAATATAAGGAGCTTACTTTTGAATAACTAATAGAAAGAATGTGACATTATTTAATTGTAAATCTGCATTTTGCAGAAATTATCTTATTTGTCTTTACTCAAAAAGGTAAGCTTGAAGATTGTTTGCTTAAGATCAATAGGAAATTTATCACGTATTATTCCTAAAAAGAAAAGTAGCTTTATGTAATGTTGATTGATAATATCAACGATCTTTTATTGAGGGTTTTTACTTTTGTATTTTTCAAGCAAATATTATGCAAAAAATTTTTCAAGAAAACAACGATCAGTAAAGGTAAGAATATCTTCCTCTATGATGATATTATTTTCAGAAAGATTAAAGCTATTGTTGACATTCATAATGTTAGGTGAGACTATGTTAGTTATTAAGATAACTTCTTTTTCTTTACTTTTGTTAGTTGGTAAAAGAGTTTTGACAGAAGTGTTATTAATTTTCATATCATTTTCTGAAATAATTTTATTTGTTTAGATAACTAAAAAGACTGGTGATTCAACTATTTGTAAAATATTTTATCTTTTATATGATGATTGAACAGTTTTTAGTGA